GCTACCGTCTCCCTCTTTCCATGTTGCTTTCCTTTTCCCTCGCTTCCTTCTCCCCTCCCTGTCGCTTTCTCTGTTATGTTCTCTCCTCTCCCCCCCCCCCTCTCTCTCCATGGGCACTATATGACTAACGTAGTCGGTGCGCCCAAAACCCAAATAATCATCATTATCATCCTCATCTCTCTCTCTCTCTCTCTCTCTCTCTCTCTCTCTCTCTCTCTCTCTCTCTCTCTCCTCTCTCCTCTCTCTCTCTCTCTCTCCCTCTCTCTCTCTCTCTCTCCTCTCTCTCTCTCTTCTTCTCTCTCCTCTCTCTCTCTCTCTTCTCTCTCTCTCTCTCTCTATCTATCTCTCTCTCTCCTCTCTCTCTCTCCTCTCTCTCTCTCTCTCTCTCTCTCTCTCTCTCTCTATCTCTCTCTTCTCTCTCGCTCTCTCTCTCTCTCTCTTCTCTTCTCTTCTCTCTCTCTCTCTCTCTCTCTCTCTCTCTCTCCTCTCTCTCTCTCTCTCTCTCTCTCTCTCTATCTCCTCTCTCTTCTCTCTCTCTCTCTCTCTCTCTATCTCTCTCTCTTCTCTTCTTCTCTCTCTTTCTCTCTCTCTCTCTCTCCTCTATCTCTCTCTATATCTCTCTCTCTCTCTCTCTCTCTCTCTCTCTCTCTCTCTCTCTCTCTCTCTCTCTCTCTTCTCTCTCTCTCTCTCTCTCTCTCTCTCTCTCCTCTCTCTCCTCTCTCTCTCTCTCTCTCTCTTCTCTCTCGCTCGCTCTCTCTCTCTTCTCTCTCTCTCTCTTCTTCTCTCTCTCTCTTTCTCTCTCTCTCTCTTCTCTCTCTCTCTCTCTCTCTCTCTCTCTCTCTCTCTCTCTCTCTCTCTCTCTCTCTCTCTCTCTCTCTCTCTCTCTCTCTCTCTCTCTCTCTCTCTCTCTTCTCTCTCTCTCTCTCTCTCCTCTCTCTCTCTCTCTCTCTCTCTCTCTCTCTCTCTCTCTCTCTCTCTCTCTCTCTCTCTCTCTCTCTCTCTCTCTCTCTCTCTCTCTCTCTCTCTCCTCTCTCTCCCTCCCGTTTACGGGGAGCGGAGGTTTGGTATCTGCTCTTCAGCCATCGACTCGTGAACTAATGCATGTTTTGGCAGACGTCACACACTGGGCCGGGGTTGGAATACGTCACCAGCGACATAAGCCCTATCACACCGAAACGCGTTTCGTAGCTCCGAGTCACGTCTGGTGTCGTCAGCCATGGCTGACCCCGAACACCGGCAGATCCCTCGTCGTCATCAGCGCGTGTCGTTCACCGCCTGGACGGTCCTGGCTCAGCTGTCGCGGCTGCCGACCGACGGGGTTGCACTGTCTCTAAAAGCCCAGGCACACAACAGGGACTGAGATCCGAGTGTGCGACGATGTTTTACGTCCGCTTGGAGGCAACATTGTTGCATTTGATTCCTTGACTTTTTTTGGCGTACAGTTTTAAACTGCTCCTAACACAACTGGAGTTGGCATCGAGCACATTACACCTCCAGCTGGGGGATACCCCACTTAGGCGATGGTTTTTACCAACGCCAATGTTTGGTGTTAAACTGAAAGTTATTTCTAATGAGACCAAAGCTGTCCAGCAGTTGCTGCCCGATGCTTGTGCAACTGCACATGCCCGATCTTGCTTACGCGGGCCACTGTTTACGTTTGTTGAGGTTCACAGAGCCAGTAGTTCGAACTGGAATTCAACAACTAAGTGCTTCGTAATGCGATCGCTTACATAACTTTAAGCCTTCCATGTGCCAGTCAAGACTCAATTAGCTGCAATGTTTTTCACAAAAGAATCGCTTGGCTGTTGCACATGAACAGACACACGATCATACTCGAAGGGCTTCTCCTCAACACCCCTGTCACGCGACAGCGGGGGGGGAGTGTTCGGCGCTGGCGCAACCGACAACGCTGCGGCGGGCCCGGAACACGGACGAGCTCGGGTCGCCCGGTGGCGCTCTGCGGACGTCTCGACGCAGTAACCGCTCTCCAACTCGTGATTTAATGCCGCTGTTGATGGCTCCTTTGGCCGTTAGTGCCCTGCGTTTAGCGTCCGAGAGCCGCCTAAGTTGGGTTTGCATTTTGCATGGCCCTGGAGACTGGACGGGCCGTGGATTCAGTCATGGACGTGACGTTTCGTGAAAGATGGAAGTGAGATATGACCGCAGGGACAGCCACATACGTCACGCGGCTCTTACGCGGCTGACCGTCTCAGTGCAGCTATTTCCTGTTGACGGAACCCATTTGGCCCGGTAGCAGCGGGATTGTGGCGCAGTAGCAATGGAAGCTGACCTCTTGAGTTGGGGTTCCTTGAAGTACGTCATTCGCGATTTTCGCAGCGCTGGTATATGCATAACCACACGCTCGCTATGGAAGCGGTTGTTCTTGTCAGAGTGGGAGATAAAGATCTCAGATTCGGGATGCCCACGATAACGACATGATGCGGAATGGCGGTACGAGACCGGCAGGCAATCTCTGCAGTGATATTGCTGCGGGGTCTAGAGACACGACACAAACAAACGAAGACTTTTGTCCGGAAGACAGATCGGGGTAGAATGAGAAATGGCCTCGGTCATGTGCGCGGTAGCGCGGGACAACACAAGTACGGCGGGAGCACCTTTATGAAGATGGAACAGAGCTGGTGCCATGTGAATGCTGACGGAAGACGAAAGGCCGCTGAAAAATATTTTTTGGTCTCCACGCGAAAAACAAATGAGTTCGTGGTCTAAGTTTGTCTATATAAGCAATCGGATAGGATTAATCAGTTGCTTGCAAAGCGTTACTCCATCGCTATTTGCAGGAACGACGTAGATTCGTAGCTGAGTATCAAAGTTCTGGTTCATAGAGGTCGCAGGGCTCAAAACGCACCAAAATACTGATGATTTGGTGGTGGGTTTTGGACACATTTTGAGCCTAGGCTTTGAGGCACAGATGGTTTGAGCACCCATTTAAATCAGGCAAGACATGGGAAACCTGGATTCGAAACATTCACATACATCACCAAATAATCAAAATAACTCCACCAACGCATTCTCAACCATCATTATCTGACTTCAAAATAACGATCTTTTTCCAGTTTGACCAAACCTGTAGCCGTAGGGAAAACATGGAGAACTTGCCATTTGTCGGCAAGTGCTTTGAAACTGGAGAAAGTGAAGCCAGTCTTCATTAACAAATGCTTGTAACGGCAGCCACAGCGGCAAGCGCTCGTCGCCCGTCGCGAAGAGCCTGTCGTTGATGTTGAAAAATCCCTGGCTGTCATCGATGTTAAAAAACCTGAAGGCGTGAGAGCTGAGCCCTGCCGCGGGCTGCGGGCTCGCACGCCTACGCGTCATTGGCTACCCACAACGCTAAGCCGATCGAGGAGCTGGAGAATATCGCATATCGTCTGCGAGACCGGCGGGCCGGTGGCGATGTTTTCTGAGCTGGTGATAGAAGAGTGGCGGATCTCTCACTTGAGGTGCCCCAACAGCTGGAGCACGTGCACCTTTAGGCTTGTGAAAGTCTATGTTTTCGCACAGCGTTATGTTGCTCGCCGGCTCTGCGAGTAATGCCAGTTGTCGATGACAAGAGTTGTCACGACTTTTCCTAGTCGCTAAAAACGACCCAAGCAACAACGCGGCTACAATACTGGGATCGGATACGCAACAGCATGCCATTGATTGGGGCGTCAAAATGAAATTTTCCTTATCATATGGGATAATTTCGGTCACTGTTACTTCAAACTGAGGAATTAATGGGGCCGAGACACCATAGGGGGGGGGGGGGGGGAGGCGGCGGGGATGGAGGCTTTGTGCACTAGAGAGATACAAAACTTTCCTCAATGGCCGACATTGTTAGAACAAAAAAGTGAATCCGCACGGTAGCGAGACTACAGCCTACATAGTCCATCTGCACCCGGACTGTATCACGGGGCCGCGGCCTACAGCGCATTTTTTTCACAGCGAAATCATGTGGATAATTTGGTAACTCTTCGTTCTTGGGAATCGTGATGCGAACAGGATGCTTCCAAATGGGCTTATAAACCCCTGGGACTCCTCATCAGAAAGTCAGGGACTAGCAACTTATGAATCCTTTGCGCGATACGCAGTCCTCAGAGTGTGCAGTCCTTGGAGTGGCCATTAAAAACATACCATCATAGAGGAGCAGCTTTGCACACACGCATGTCCTACCACGCGTGTCCCCCCTCCCCTCGAGCATCAACGCCTAACAAACACGCACGTATAGTTTGCATAGCATCCATATTTTAGAGATCAATTTTTTAGGGCCCCGGTCACATCATGGGTCGACCGTGGACTGTTGTAGGCGTGCGAGTAACTCAACCGGCGCCATCAAAGCAACCACATACGAAACAGTGCTGCGAGTCCCAAGTCGACCTCCTGCTTAAACGTTACAGCGACGCGTCATCTTGACAGGGCGGTGTCATAAGCTCCTTCCCGACGTGTCATCTTGACCACGCGGTGTCATGAGCTCCTTCCCGACGAACTGAGGCCGTGCCTAATGGTGGGAGCGGTTTCATAGACTGAAACGCTGCGATATCGTTCGCGGGCGCCGGTTCGACCTTCATCAGGCGGCATTCAAGCGGAGCGACCGTTTGCGCCATTCATCGTCGACAAGTCTTTCGGAGCGCCATTTGCGTCATCGCCAGCTGACGCGGACGAAATACAGGTTCCGACGACGGCCGCGCGACGCATGCTCGCGCTCGCCACATCGGTGGCCAGGCCCCTGGGAAATCGGCCAATCGCATAACGCCGTAATAACCCGCCTAATCCTATTTACCGTCTACCCTAGAAGACCGGCGGATAATTGACTGCGATTCGTTTACCTGGGCCGGCGCGCACCCCTTGCAGTCGCCGGAGGGGGCGCTCGGGACTGGGGGGGGGGGGGGGGCCGAGTCGGATCGATCGACGCGCGCTCCCGTCGCCCCTGGACGGACGGCGCGCGTCGGTGCCGGCGGCGGCGTCGGCTGGCGACGCTCCCCAGGGCTAGGCAGTGGCGGGAGGGCGCCGACGCGGAGGCCGGCTCACGCTGCGACTGCCGACGGCGTTGCCGCGTTGTGGAGCTACATGGAGGAAAGCGACGGCCGCCGACGCGTGTTGTGTTGAGGAGGGCGTGGACGCTGTCTCTAGTTGCGTTGAAGAGGACGCGGACGCCGTCTCGAGCTGCGTTGAGAAGGACGCGGACGCCGTCTCGAGTTGCGTTGGGGCAGACGCAGACGTTGTGAGTTGCGTTGAGGAGGACACAGACGTGAGTTGCGTTGAGGAGGACGCAGACCACCGTAGGTTGCGCTGATTGGGCTAGCGGACGCCGTTGCTTTGTGTTGAGGACGTTGCGTAGCTGTGACAAGACGCGGACGCTGTTGAGACGCACCGGCGGTGTGACGGCCGCTGCCAGGAGGTGCAGGCGGCGTCAGCGCGAGTCACGTGGTGCCGGGATGAAGCTCAGCTGGAGGACGGACCACTGGTGCGGCTGGAGGACGGGCGCGCTGATGGTGGCAGGACTGCTCGCCACCGCAGCCAGCGCCGACACAGGTACGTACATCCGGGCTCTACGGCGCAGCTGGGGCCGGGTCGGACCAGGCGCTGGGCTTCGAACCGGCCACGCGCCAATGGCGCACACGCCGGCTCTGAGCGCTGTCTGTCACGCCGGCTCTCAGCCTCTGAGCGCCGTCTGTCACGCTGCCTCTGAGCGCAGTCTGTCACGCCGGCCCAGCCAGGTGTTTGCACCGGGTGACGTATGCTGCTCGGGTTTCAACTGCCAACCATTTGAGATATACAATAGCCAGTCACAAAGCGCCGTCACGACTCCACAATGTGCCACAGGCTCCTGCCAAAAGGCAATTTCTGTTGGCGTTTTCAGTCCGGCATAGCTGCGCTCACGGAAGCGCCGGCCGTTCTCGTCAACTTTGGCGCCGGCCGCCATTTTACGGCTGCCTTTTGACAAAGGGAATGCAGCATTCGTCGGCACTGGCGTCGTGCTGTTTTGACCCTGTTCGACCGAGCGGCGATGCGAGAGAGGTCCCGCCGATCGTAAAGGCGGCCCCGGCCCGAGCCTGCCTTTGATCGTGAGCCGTGTACCGCATCGCGGAAACCGACGACGGAGTTGCATGAGTAATGCCCCAATACCTTTCCCCGCCGCCGACACCGGAAGCTTGTCTGGAAAGCTGCAGTGGAATGTGACGGTGCTTGGAGTGAAGCGAGTCTGTGGGGTTTTTCTCGGCGATTTGACGATGCAGAAACCACATAATGCATCGGGTTGTTATCGCCTTTTGCTCTCGACCTTGCGACAAGCTGGGATCCCGCGCGTCACGGCGTCGCTACAAACATAGCCGGACGGGATGGGTTCTCAGAATGCGCCTCTAGAATGTCCTGAGATCCGCGGACCAGGCATGGAGTTTCGTATTCCTTTGGATGGGGTTTACCAACCTAGAGTCTGCATTGGTCTCAATTTAGAGCCCACGCTAGCCAAGACGTCGATCGAATGCACTGAGTACTGCGGAAACCGATTTCTTGGGTTGAAAATCCGGCCTTTGATCCGCAGTGCATTTGATGAAGCGTCATCCCAATTTAGAATCAAACGGTAGGAAATGTCAACGACATCATATTTTTAGAACCCCACCATTAACAACAAACCCGTCATTTTTAGACTACACGTCATTTCCTGATGGTATCGTCAATGATTTATTCGATTTTGGATTGCGACCGATTTGCGGTTTTGCCTCGTTGCATAATGTAATGCTGCTACCCCGTTTTTCTCTAATCAGATCAAGTCCGGTGATTCAGATGACGCCACAGGGACGACAGGCGACTGCAGCTGCCGGCTGGCTCATGGCTAACAGTCACGTCAGTATCGGTGACCATGCATAATTGCACGCACGTGCACAGCTGACAGTTATTCATCCGTCGCAACTAGTAAAAAAATGAGCAGTGCAGCAGAGGCCTGCTGTGACGTGGGACGAACGGGTGATAACGAATGCCGATGTGACCGCCATGCCATTCATAATATATAATAATACCAGGACACAAGCGAGCCGAGCCAGCGAACGGCGCCGACACACACAGGTAGAAAGGCCTCGTCGGTGCGTTATAAGATCCTCTTTCATGCCTTCGGCAAGCGAGGGCTCGCTAATGTTAACACGCGCCCGGGTGGCCGGCTAGATACCCTTCACTCGGGTGGGGAGTCAATTTGACCCCCTGAGATCTCGTAAACTAAGGGAGCTATAGACACCAAATATACAGGGCATCTTGACCTGTATGTGAACTCACTTAGGTCAAAATGCCAGATTCCTGGGTAATGACCTTTGGGTTAAGGAAGGTCGAACAAGGTCAAGTTTCAGGTTGGTCTCCAAAGTGCCCCCGGAACCTAGATAACCGTTTCTAAGCAAAAGGTCACATGCTCATTTAAGTTCAGTGACCTTTTTGACCTTTTGAAGGTCAAGGTGACAAAAATTATGCAAGATTGCTCCGAGTTTGGCATTTGACTGAGCGAAAAAGATTACACCAGGCAGTATGCTCCTAAAACAAAATGTCGAACTGGGTTATTTTAGGTCAATTACCTATGCTGACCTCTAAGTAGTTCATGGGCGATGTATAATGCGGTTCCTGCTGTCAATAAATACACAATAAGTACCACAAACTATCCCATACAGTAAGCCCTGAAGCAATAAAACAGGTTGGTTTTGACCTTGGTGTGACCTTCATACCTGACCTTAGGTTAATGTAATTTGCTCATTCAGCTGTTGTGTTGCCTAAGAAAGCATCTCAGAGATGAATGGCTTCGTGTAACACTCTGCTGTTGGATCAGATTGAAGGATTCCTTAGAAATTGCCTACGCTGAAACCATGGCCTGACTTTGACCTGCCATAGGCCAACGACCTTACAAGGTACATCTAAACTTTTGGTGCCAAACGATCCGCTATTCAATTGACAACAACTATGCAAAATTTATCGCGTCTACACCGCGCCGTTGAGAAACCATTGTGGAAAACCTTTCGGGCTGGGGGGGGGGGGGCAATTTGACTCCCACCCGAGCGCGTATTGAGAGTCCGAAGACCAATTTGCCAATTAGTATGTCTCAAGATTAGCTGGCTTTGGGCTCGATTAGCCCGGCCGTTCAAGTAGATGACATCGAGGAATTTGGGATGGTTTTCGTTTCAGGCGACTGGGGCCAAATAATTTGAAAACAACTACGATTCTAAGTGGATGTTAGTTACCGTGGATTCGACCGTATACATCTTTGGTTGTTATGGCCCAGTCTCTCCCAGTGAAGGCCCCAAAGTAGGGCATACGAGACTGAATCTCCAAGAACTGATCTCGACTGATCCCTCGGCGATTGTTTTCGCTCCTATGCGGCAGGTATTGCTGGATTTGCTTAGTGTTTCATGGAAGGTATGGTATACTTACATCATGCTGCTCGCTCATTTTTTTTTATTTTCTCGTTTGTCGACATCTGATATCAGTTGCTAAAGACGCGCCCAAACCGGCGGATCCATAGTGAAGCACATGCGCACTGGTGTGCGCATGTGGGGCTTCACGCACCTACCGATGATTTTCGCAGCACGACCGCCCTTTCACTTTTCTATCACACGACGTTGCTTTCGTGACGTGACGACTTCGGCTGACTAGATCGGCTCAGGTTTTGATCTACATTTGAACGCTTCATCTCCTTGCAAATTTTATTTATCCCGTGTCATTCGAATAGGCAGGGGTGTGGAATATTGCGATGTAAAGAAAAACTTACCTGACCAAATCCCTGCGTGCATAGGACTTCAAATATTACGGCAGACCTTATCCAAAATCGTACTGTTTTTGCTCAGCCCCTCAACAGCGTGACTGCTCGGATGGCATCAACAGCGTGACTGCTCAGATGTCGTCAACGGCGTGACTGTTCGGATAACGTCAACAGCGTGACTGCTCGGATGACGTCAGCAGCGTGACTGCTCGGATAACGTCGTTGACGCCACAAAATGTTCAGTTAGTTGACGTTAATACAGGCCCGGCATGCAGCCGCGCTCGTAACCGCAGCTGCAGCTGCAACCTCCTCATCTAACAGCCTGTTAAACCCGCGTTAACCCGAAACTTACAAACATTACATGTGTCGTAAAATATAAGCGTTCGGCACAACCCTTCTACCTTAAATCAGATCACCACCATTTCTGCAACAGTAGCTCAACAGCAGTATCCGCAGACGAGTACGACCATTTCGGAACATTGCCACCTTTAAAGACAGATTTATAGATATATAGACTTTAACAGACAAGCCACAAGAATGCAGAAAAAGGATGCTTCGCAATAGCACCTAAAGGCTCGCAACCTGAGCTGAATACATCAGTTGGAAGAGCGTCCGCCGACACTTATTAGCCGAGTCATGGGTGCAGGGCGGTCTTCCGGAATAGTGTTCCTTTCCCTCCCTTTGCAATGTACGTGGTAAATTATGGTGTTTCATGTGAAGTTAAGCTGCATGCGTCATACAACGGCCAAAAATGAATTAACTGTGCCATCTGTCTTTCGGCGCTCAGCGCGTATTTTCGAAGCATCACTCACGGACAGGGTTCAAATTGACTCGCTCAGAATGGTTCCACGTCCGGGAACGTTTTCGAGCACAGTGACATGCAGTGATTAATTCAGGTCAAAGATTCCAACCGACTGCACAACTTCGTGCAGCTTTCAGCCTGCCGTCTGGTCTCTTCCACCTGGCCGTGAATGCGTTTGCCGGCCGCCGGCTCGCCGGAGCGAGCGCGGTTGGTCTCGGCGGACGCCGGGCCGGCCGGCGGACGCTCACGCCGGCGCCGCAACTGGCGTTCACGCTGGCGGCAGAAGCGGCGCGTCCGTGCCGATCGATTGCAGGCACCGGCGCGCGGGCCCACGATCGGGAGCACGTGCTGGCCGCGCCGCGGTTGGGCCGGTGTCGGCGCCAGGTGAGCGGTGTCGCCGGCCCGGCCGCGCCGCCCGCCGCCGTCGCGGCAATCGATGGCGCGCCGCATCGCCGCGGGAACGGCCCTCAACTCGGCGGATGGTGCGAGCGGCGGATGGCTCGCGCGTACCGACGGATGGCGAGCGTGAGCAGACGGACCTGTGAACATGGTTAAGGTTAGCCAGGTCTTGTGGCGCGGGGCGTGTGAACAGATCTGGGCTCCTCACTTTCATTGCAAGTTTCAAGGATGTCCGGTCTGATCGGGGGCTATATGACCGTGAAGATTATTTGGACATGTTGGGCTGAGTGGGCTGAGTTGCATGGCGCGCGCGTCTTTCGTGAGAGCAGCTGCGCCAGGTTTAGTTCACCTGCATCCCCAACATTGGTGGTTGGCTGTCACACACCGCCCTCCTCATAATTAAGTGGTTCAACGAGCAATCATGGTGTGAATTATGCATCGCTATTGCGCATAATTAGATCGTCATTATTAAAGACAGGTTGTAGTGTGAATGGGTGCTGGCTATTGACATAACCCATGAGAATAGCAATCAAATACAATGCCGATCTTGTGTTCGACATTTTACTCAATTCCTCCCCATTTCTTCATGTTGTGCGCGCT